AAGATGGCACAATAATGCTGTCCTTCATTCTCGAAGAGGACCAAAATGACATCACTATGTTACAGTCTAGTTACAGTGTGTCTGACTGTGGCTAGGGGGAGTTGACGATTCCTCAGATAAAGGTCTCATATTTCAATAAGTAAAGAACTTTATCATATCTATAAGAATATGAGTCATTCCCCTATTGATAATGGTCAAAGGGTATAAATTCCCAAATTAACTATAAAGGATATATAAAGAAAGATGCTATCTGCACCAGAGAAAGAACTAATAAATAGAAGTATGTATAGAATAATTTTACATATATATACCTATTTGTCTCTAATATTACCTATCTCTAGGGTGGGTGGAAAGGAGGGAACAAAAAAAGAAATTTGCATAATAATAATGTAATTTGATAGGAATAGCAAGATGTGCATAGCAGATTTTCAGTTTCATACACACTAATCTTTTTTTATTGTACTATGTTATCGAAATGCATGTTTTATTCCATAAATTAAAAATAAAATAAATCAGTGTTGAATCAAGTATTTGTATAATCAATCACCACTATTACCTAATATTGTACTAGAAATGAAAGCTATAGCAATAAAACACAAAAAAGAAATTTAAGAAATAACAGTAGGCAATGAAGAAACAAAACTATTACGCATTGCAGATTGTCTGAGAGCATACATAAAGAACCTTAGAGAATCAATTAAAAAACTAGTTGAACCAAAGAACAACCTTGGCAAAGTAACAGGATATAAAATAAACCCATATAAATCTTCAGCATTTCCATGTATTACTAACAAGGCCAAATAAGAAGTGATAGAAAAACAAATTTAATTTAAAATAACTGCAGACAACATAAAATATTTGGGAATCTTCCTTGCCAAGACAAAACCAGAAACTAAATGAACAAATCTGCAAACATTTTTCACATAAATACAGACAAATCTAAACAACTGGAGAAATATTAATTGTTCATGGGTAGCATGAGCCAATATAATAAAAATGACAGTTCTACCAAACTTTATTTATTTGTTGCCATGCCAATCAAACTACTTAAAGATTATTTTATAGAACTACAATATATAATAATAAAATTTATGAGGAATAAAAAAGGGCAAGGATATCAAAGGAATCATTTTTTTAAATACTAAAGAAAGTGGCCTAGACATACCAGAATTTCTAAATATATTACAGAGCTATAATCATCAAAACAATCTGGTACTGGCTAAGAAATGAAGTGGTGGACCAGTGGAATGGATGAGGTACACAATACACTGTAGTAAATGACCATAGTAATTTTTGATCAACCCAAATATCCAAGCTTTAGGAAAAAAATTCATTATTTGATAAAAAAAAAAATTGGTAGGAAAACTGTAAAGTAGTTTGCAGAAACTAGGCATAGACCAAAATCTCATACAATATACCAAGATAAGGTAAAAATGGGAACATGATTTAGACATAGAGTGATATTATAAACAAATTAAGGAAGAATAGAAAATTTTACCTCTCAGATCAATAAATAAGGGGAAAGCTTATGCTCAAAAAAGAGATAGAGAGGATCACAGGAAGTAAATTGAGTAATATCAATTGCATAAAATTAAAAATGTTTTGCACAAACAATATTAATGCAGTCAAAATTAGAAGGAAAGCAAGCAACAGGGAAATTTTTTAACATGATTTTTTCTAATAAAAAGTTCATTTCTCAAATATGTAGTGAACTGAGCCAAATTCATAAAAATGAAAGCTATTCCCCAATTTATAAACATTCAAAAGATATGAATTGTATTTTCAGAAGAAGAAATTAGGGGCAACTAAGTGGTGCAATGGATAAAGCTCCAGCCTTGGAGTCGGGAGGACCTGAGTTCCAATCTGACCTCAGACACTTGACACTTACTAGCTGTGAGACCCTTAACTTAATCATTATTGCCTCACACACACAAAAAAGAAGAAATCAAAGCTATCGATAGTCATATGGGAAAAATTATCTAAATCACTATTAGAAAAATGAAAATTAAAACTTGCTCAGCCATTCTCCAATTGATAGGCATCACCTCAATTTCCAATTCTTTGTCACCATAAAAAGAGCTGTTATAAATATTTTTGTACATATAGGTGTTTTCCTTTTTAAAAAAAATCTGTTTGGGATACTGCCTTTGGCTTTCTAAATAGAAGTCACATTACTGAAATCTCTTTTTGTATGGAAATTCCTAAGAACTTTCACCAGCAGGCTCATGTCAAAGTCATAGTCTGTCTAAAGATTAAGAACACATGCTCTTTAATAAAAAAAAAAAAACTCATAGAAAGAGTTTGGCTGAGATTTAAAAATTTAAAATTTAATTTTATTATATATTATACCTGAAGATATTTAATATGTAATAGAATCACTGTGGTTTAATCCAGTCATGTGTATTATTCCCACACATGGTGAAAAAGTTCCTTTTTGAACTCCACTTGAAATCTTATCTTAGGATCAGATCCCTCCTGAGTTATTACAAAACACTAAGGCATGCATGTGGATATGCAACAATGCTAACTAACCTTTATCTGAGCTGATGGATATACCAATCTCCTCTTGTAATCTCATTTCTTTTTCCTGACCAAATAATAGCGTCTCAGGATTCACATTAATTTTCTCTCAGCCTTTCCTTTTCCAAGCAGAATGAGAAAGAAATCACTTGGCAAGAGGAAGGGGGGAAAGAGAGACAGTATGTTCTCCTCTAGTCTCTGTTTTCTGAGTGCAGATCTTCCTATTGGTGTGACAGATGGAAAAAAGAACTCTCTCTACTCCCTGTAATGACTTCAGGACCATAGAAATGCTTTCCCAAGTAGACCTGAGCAATGTCTTGACCTAATTCAGTTCTTCTTATTTAAATGTTAAGTCATGAAATTTAACAATTAAAAAAAAATTAAGCACCTGATAGAAACAAAGTACTGGTAGTCTCAAGGATGGACCATAATATGCTTCTTGCCCTCAAAGATCTTCAATATATTGGGATCATTGTGTATATATGAGTATGATACGAGGTAAGATGAGGGCAAAAGAGAGGGCTATACAAAGAATTTCTGTTATGGTCTTCACTCCAGAAGCAAGTTTCATGGTTGTAAAACTGTCTCTCTGCTGGCTAAGACCCAGGGAACTGCTGGTGGATGCTTTAACCTCCATTAAATAAGTAGGTATGATGATCAGAGTCATAACAAAAAATAAATTGTCGGGTAAGGTTTGCTGACAACTTTTGCTAGAATGTAGAGGTGTGGAAGATATGTAAGAAAACTTCCTTCATGAATCCACATCTGGACATTCATTTTCCTTGTTCACCTCCTTGTCTAAGCTAATAGTCTCTGAACTTTGCTGATTGCACAGCCATATCAGTAAAATATTCTCAAACTTGACTGCAAAATATACCTATATTTAGTTTTTATTTCATTATATTTAAGCACTAGAGGATGTCCCAAAAGTCCTAGTGTAGTTTTAATCTTTAATAGCTTTAAGCTATATGTGTACTGCATTATACATGCACTACTAATACATAATATATAACTATACACAATAATGGCAAACTTAAAAGAATGAGATAAAGATGAAATGAAAAATATTTAAAACTATTTGACTATTATATTTATTAAGGGTATTAAACATTTTTACTCACTAAAATATTAATAGTAATAAGATCAATGTGATTAAATATGCTTCATTATTTTTTTAAATCATTGCTTAACATTTTGTGATAGAGACTCAAATAAGTGTAACACAAGGTACAATTGTATATAGTACAAGTGTGCATAAAATAAGGAGAAAAGAGTCACTACAAATTACTCAAATACAATCTGAGCAGGAATAGTTCTCATTCTGTTGGGAGAATCAGAAAGACATCATGAAGGAAGTCACATGTGGGCTGGGTCTTGAAAGAATGAAAGGCTCTCAATAAGTCCCCTCTGAGATCAGTACTACTAGTTGACCTGACAAGAGGTTTGTAGTTGCTAGGATTCCTTCAGAAGCTTATTTTTTTTTCTTTATGGATCTAGCATAATTGTCCATAGCCATAGCAAGTTACATACCTTGGATTACAGAAGGAAATATATTGTCAAAGTCCTTCAAAAATTTTAGGTAGGTATCTTGTGATGCTGGGGCTCTCTTTTCATCTAGTTTGCCAACTAGGTCTAGAATATCATGTGTTTATCACAATCTGATGGAGGCCCTTTGACCTCTCTGTTCCAGAAAATATTTTGGAGAAGAGCATCTCCCCAATATCCTCTAAGTAAAAACTGAAAAAAATAATGCATTGTATCCTACATGAGTGAACTTTTTATTTTTCATGTTGTTGTTGTTTCATGAAGACAAAGTTTTCTATCTGTGCTTTGCTTTAAAATATATTAATTATTGACATCCCTTTCCCTTTTCAAGTTTTCCTCTACTTTTTGGCCCATCTAATTATTTGTTTACATGTAATTTGCCATACCTTAGGAACTTCTCATTTCTTTTAACTTCAGCAAAATATGCCATCATTTTATAAAAATGTATTTCTCCTGCTTGAATGGACTCTTTTGATTCAGTACTGGATACTCACTCCAAAAGAATACAGGGACATAAGATCATCTGGTAATATATATGTGCCACTAGTGGACAGCAGCTAACATATTGTTCAAGTCAGTCAACCATTATAATCATCTTCTTCTCCCAGATCACTTTTCCCCACTAATCACCTCTTCCACAGGAATCACCTCCTCCACAAGCATCACCTCCTTCCCTGGAACCGCCTCCTCCAAATCTACAACATCTTTTACAGAAATCAACAACTCTTGATGAATTGCTCTTTTCATCTGGAGTTAGGCATAAAAAACAACATAATAAAAGGCATAAAAGAAATATAGGAGGAATAACAAAAATAGTTATAACAATAATGGAATCCATGTTCTTCAGGATGTCTTTTCAATATCAAAGCAGGATCAATAAGGACAGCACAGTCTTGTCCATGTCAATTAGGTGCCAAACTTTTTCTTTCCGCTGCTGCTGTTTCTGAAATCCTTTGTTCATAGCTAATACATTTCTATTTCTTTTAGATTCACCCATTTCACATTATTCAGAGATTCTTGCCTTTGAGAGAAGCATCTGAAAAACAAAACCTTAGAAATCATAGGTAAATTATATTTGAGTGGGAAAAGCTTTATCAAAGACACATAGATTGTCTGAGCATCTACATTCATAAATTTCTTCAAAAGTTCTTTTTTCAATCAATCAAGCAAGAAATCAAAATTTGCTTTCCACTTCTGTGTCCAACACTGCACTAGGTGCTCAATCTACAAAGAAAAAGGAAATTCAATCCTTGTCCTTCAGAAGAAAAAATACAAGTGGAAACCAAATACACAAATTAGATTCAAAGTTATCTTAGGGGAAGGCAGTAGATGCTGAGTATCTGGTGGTGGGCAGTGGTCTGGTTAGAGAGGAAAGGAAACCAGAAAAGTCTTCCAGCAGAAGGTAGCATTTGATCTAAGACTTAAAGGCAAACCAGGGATTCCAAGACAATGAGATGAGGAGGGAATCCATTCCAGAAAGTGGGCACAACTAGTGCCAAGGGCACAGAAATGGGAGATGGAATATCCAGTGTGAAGAACAGCAAGGAGGCTAGTATTGCTGGATTGTAAAGTACATAGAACATATTAATGAGTAATAAGCCTGGTAAATACCAAAGCATGAGGTGGTATCAAGATGGAAGAGTAGCAGGCAATTTTCCCCTAGCTCTTTCACATGATCTGTAAAGTGCATGCACCAAGCTGAATACACATACATGAAGAGTGCAAAAAGTTTATACCATGGAGGGGAGAATGGTGGCAAACAGGAAAAAAATAATTGAACCTCAATCTCATCTAAACTAGTTCAAGGATGGAGGAACATACATTCACACACAGTTGAGTATGGAAATTCATCATACCAAACAGGGAAGTTGGAGGGGAAAGTGTTAACAGAAAGAGGAGAGGATAAAAGGGCAGATATTTTGAGGAAGGCAGTGGTCAGAAGCAAAGCAGATTCTTGTAGAGCAGTAAAAAAAAAAAAGACAATAAAGGGAAATTCACAGTTAGCAATCATAACCATGACTGATAGTGGGAGGAACTCATCCTTATAATAGTAGAGGATAGTAGAATAGAAGAGAAATATGAATTCAACAATATGTTGTTTCCAAGAAACAGAAAGGTACAGAGTTAAAATAAGAGGCTAGATAAGAATCAATTATGCTTCAGCTGAAGTAAAAAAATAAAAGGCAGTAATCATGATCTCACACAAAGAAAAAGCAAAAAATGGACATAATTAAAACAGAAAATCAGGGAAACTGTATGCTAAAAGGTACAATAGACAACGAATTAATATCAAAATTGAACATATATGTACAAAATTGGCAAGAAAAGCTAAATGAGCAATAGGTGGAGAAAGACAGTATAATCATACTAGTACAGGACCTCAATTTACCTCTTTCAGACCTAGATAAATCTAACCATCAAAAAAAGAAGAAAAAAGTTAGGATAAGGAATGCAATTTCATAAAACTTAGAGATGATAGAACTCTATAGAACATAATACAGGAATAAAAAGGAGTAAACCTATTCTCCATTGTGCATGGCGCCTTGACAAAAATTGACAATATGTTAGGGCATAGAAACCTCACAAACAAATGTAGAAAAGTAGAAATATTAAATGCATCTTTTCCTGACAACAATTCAATAAAAATTACATTCCATAAAAGCCTTTGAAATATATATATATATGTGTGTGTGTGTATATATATAATATATATATACACACATATATTAAAACAAACTGGAAACTAGGTAATTTAATTTTAAAGAGTGAGTGGGTTAAAGAATAAATCATAAAAATAATTAATAATTTCATTAAAGAGAATGACAACAGTGAGACAACCTACCAGATTTTGTAGGTTGCAGCCAAAGCAGAACTTGGGAAAATTTATATTACAAAATGCTTCCTTAAAAAGAATGAGAAAAAGGGGGGAGAGAGAGAGAAGATCAATCAATTGGGCATGTAACTAAAAATATTAAACTAATTAGCAAATTAAAATTTGAAATCCTGAAAATTAAAGGAGATGTTAATAATCTTGCAAGTTAAAGGGAAAAAAACCTCATTAATAAACTTGGAATTGTTTTTATTTTTTAAAACAAGTAATTGGCTAATTTTTATTTTTTTTCAGCCAAAGACAAAGTTTATTAAAGATTCACTATATTGGACACTATATCGGGGCAGCTAGGTGGTGCAGAGGATAGAGCACCAGCCCTGGAGTCAGGAAGACCTGAGCTCAAATCTGGCCTCAGACACATAATACTTCCTAACTGTGTGACTCTGGCAAGTCACTTAACCCAATTGCCTCACTAAAAAAAAAAAAAATTCACTATATTGGACAGACTCTTAAGTAATCTGAACATTTGTGATCTATTGCCTGGAGTAGAAGAATCTGAGCCTAATTTTATTTTTAAAAGACAGAAGAAAAGCAAATTATTAATTTCAAAAATGGAAAAGGTGAACTCACAACCAATGAAGATGAAAGAAAAGCAATTATTAGGAGCTACTTTTCACAGCTATGTTCCATTAACACTAACAATCTAAATAAAATGGATGAATATTTACAAAAAGGTAAATTGCCTAGATTAACTGAATAGGAAATAGAATATTTAAATAACCCTATCTTAGAAAAAGAGATTGAATCAATCACTAATGAGTTTCCTTAGGGAGAAAAAACTCCAGGACCAGATGGATTTACAAGTGAATTCTACCAACATTTAAAGAAGAATTCATTCTAATACAATATAATTTTTTTTAAAAAATAGCTTAAGAAGGAGTTTTACCAAATTTCTTTTATAACAAAAATATTGTTTTGATGCCTAAACCAGAGGGAGCCTAAACAGATCAAGAAAATTATGAATGTTGATGTAAAAATTTACCAAGGTGATTACAATTATATATTACAAAGTTTATACACTATGACCAGGTTGGATTTTTACCAGGAATTCAGGGATAGTTCAATATCAGGAAAATTATAAGCATAATTGACCATATCAAGAAGAAGACCAACAAAAATCATATATTATATCAATAGATGCAGAAAAAGCTTTTGACAAAATACCATTCTTATTCCTTCAAAGAAAAAAACACTAGAAAGCATAGGAGCAAATGGAGCAAAATTTACTTAAAATGGAAAGTAGTACCTATCTAAAATGAAGAGCAATAGAGATAAACTAGAAGCCTTTCCAATAAGATCAAGAGTGAAGCATAGGTGTCCATTATACCGTTATTATTCTATATTGTACTAGAAAAGCTATCTATAGAAATAAAATAAGAAAAAGAAATCAATGGAAAAAGCAAAGGCAAAGAAAAAACAAAACTATCACTTTTTACCAACAATATGATGATTTACTTAGAGAACTCTAGAAAGTCAACTGAAAAACAAGATGAAACAATAACAACCTCAACAGAGTTACAGTATATAAAATAAACCCATACAAATCATTAGCATTTCTATGTATTGCCAACGAAGCTTAGCAGCAAGAAATAGAGAAATTCCATTTGAGAAAATTACAGACAATAGAAAATACTGGAGGGTCTACCTGTCAAGCTATATAGAGGAACTATATAAACACTGTAGATTTTATATCTCCCCTTCAAAAAAAAATTTTCTTAGGGTTCCTTACTTTTGGGAGAAAGTGATTTCATAATAAGTCCAGCAAATTACCATTAAGACAGGTCAACTAATCCCTCGATGATTAATGACAGTTTGACAGGTTTACCAAGTTTATTTTTATACCAGAAAATAAAGGAACTATATTCATGAGGCTGATTCATAAGTTTTACAAAGAAGTAGGTAGATTCACAATATTCAGCTGCTGGGCATGTCAAAAGCACAATGGAAAATTTCTAGAGAAGGATGACTGCTAGATTCAATATTTCATTGGTTTAGAAATTATTTCCATCATTCTGTGAATTTTTTTTTGAGACATCTTCTTCAGTGGTTGGTCTTTTAAGGATTTCTGCTATGGGAGTATGATGCTCACTGAGAAAGAACTAACTTATTAAAAGATGAATTTGTGGTGAGCTGAGTCAACCCCCTCCTCCCCCCACCTCCAGCTTTCTAAAAATAGGATTCTGAGTGCAGTGATATCTAAGCTTAATTCTATGATTCTATTATTTTGTTTGTATAAAGACACATGTCCTATTCTAACTACTATTAAATCTTGTTAAAATATTCATTCATCAAATCTATAGGTAACTTAGGCTTAAAGGAATATTTATATTAGTTTAACTTCTTAAGAAAAGGAAATATATTGTTTTAATCAAACTAAAACAAATCAAAGTAATCAATATTAACTGATTTAGAGATCATTTTTTTCAACACCATTACAAAACAGTCTTCTGGGCCTGGAATCAGAAACCTCAGAGTTTAAATCTCACTCAAGATATATACTACCTGTGTCACTCTGGGCCTGTAATTACCTCACTTTTCTCAGCTATAGAACTGGGGACATAATAACAGCACCTACCTCCCAGAGTTGTTGTGAGGATTAAATAGCATGATATTTTTTAAAGCACTGAGCAAAGTGCTTTATAGTAGGTATATAGCAAGGAATTAATAAATGCTTATTCCTTGCCATTCCTCAAAGAACTTTGTGATTTGCACTCATTTTACTGCTGTTTCCTAATTTACAGTTTGATTCTTTACTTCCTTCAATCACCCTTCTATCTTGTTAATCTTCATCCTCTCCTTACCTAGTGGTTCCTTATCTATGGCTTTAAAACATGCTCATTTTCCTCAGCCTTTAAAAAAATCCCTTTATTAGACTCTACCTCAAGCTGTCAACCCATATCTCTCCCACCTCTTTCACAGCAAAACTGCTAGAAAGAGCCATACCCTCTCAGTGCTCCAACTTTCACACCTCTTCTTCAACTCAGTCTTGCTTCTAGCTTCAGTCAACTGCAGCTTCGCTCTCCAAAATTACCAGGGATTTTAAAATTGCCAAATCAAATGGTGTTTTCTTCTTCCTTGTACTTTTTGACATCTCAGCTGTTTTTAACACTTTTGAATACCCTTTCCTTCTAAACATTTTCATCTCTGGGTTTTTGTCATACCATGCTCTCCTGGTGTTTTTCCTAATTGTCTGAACACTCCTGATTCATTTTTGTTGATTCATCATCCTTTTCATTACCTCCAATTCTAGGTGTTCCAAAAAGATCTGTCCTGGAATCTCTCTTTTTTTCCCCTTTATACTATGTCTGTCAGTAACCTCATCAGCTCCCATGAGATTGAGTCATAATCTCCATGGAATGGGGGACATTCAGTCCAATGTCACCTTTCCTTTATATTATTGCAATATCCTCCTAACTGGCCTCCTTGCCTCAAGTCTCTCCCTACTCCAGTCTATCCTTCACATAGAGAGTAAAGTGATTTCCTTAAGCACAGATCTAACACGTCACTTCCTTACTCAATAAACCCCAGTGGTTCCCTATTGCTTCTAGAACAAAATGTGAACTCCTCTGTTTAGTTTTTAACACCCTTTTCCACCAGGCCCAATCTATCTTTCCAGACTTGTCTACCATTACTTCCACTCCTACACTCTGGCCAACTCATTCAATTTTCTTTCTTTCTATTACTCATGCATTTCCTGTCTCTATTCTTTGAACTGGCCATCCCCAATCCCTGTAATGTATTACCTCCTCACTTCTAACTCATAGAATCCTTCTCTTCTTTGAAGGTGAAGTTCTATATGAAGCCTTTCCTGATTTCCCTGACTGCTGATACTCTTGCTTCCTAATAATTTTATATTGTACCTTGTATTAATTCTTTTTATAGGGATATTGTGTATACTTATATACATACTGGTTGCCTTCCTTCTGAGACTAAAGCTTCTTTTGAGTAGCGATTATTTCTTTCTTTTCCTTTGTATCCCTAGCACCCACCAAGATGCCTGACAAATAGTAGGCATTTGCTATATGCTTGTTCATTGCTTGACTGACTATTATAAATAATTGCCTTTGTGTTTTAAAAATGCCAACTAATAAAAACATTTCAAAAGCAAATTATGATTAAAAGTGAAAACAACAGAAAAAGAAAACATAATTATTACATGAGTGGCAGCTAAGCATAACTTTAGGCTGCATTCATAGAAGTTTAGAGTACAGGGTGAGTAATGGGATGTGGAGAAACTATCATTTCCCCTGATCAGAGCACACTTTTGAGTACTGTCTCCATTTCTAGGCACCATATTGTTGAAAGGACATAGACAAGGCAAAAGAAAAGCCTAAGTGCAAGCCTTGAATTAAGCATTCTTTTTTTTTTAACCAATATTATCTCATTTGCTTTTCACAACAAAGCCCAAAATGTAGGTGTCATTACTATCCCCATTTTACATAGGAGGAAAGTGAAATAAACAAAAGTTAACTGAATTACCCAGGGTCACACAGTTAGTGTCTGAGGCCATATTTGAACTTGCGTCCTCCTGACTTCAGGCTCAGTGCTCCCACTGAGCTACCAACTGCCTTGAACTGGTTTGGGCTCCAAGAATGGTAACCAGGGTGCTATAGAAACTCAAGACTATAACATACGGGGATTTCTTGTAGGAACTAAGGTATTTAACGTGAAGAAGAGAAGAGATGGGGGTAATTGATGCTGCCTTCAAATGTACAAAGATGCCATAGAAGAGGGAGTGCACTTATTTTACTTAGCTCTAGAATTAATAAGCAGTAGCTAAAGAAGGTAGACTTCAGCTCTATATGATGAATATTGTACTTAGAGTTTGAGGGAACCTCAGAGTCCATCTGGCCCAAATCACTCATATTACAGTTGAGGAAATTGAGTCTAAAAGAGCAAAAGTCATCTGCCGAACATCATATAACTACTAAGTGGCTGAGTCTTGATTCAAAGCCAGATTTCTCTGACTTCAACGCCAGGGAGCTTTGCATTAAACCAGTTTATTTCTTTTTGAAGAAATCAATGAATTTCTGTGACTAAGTAGAGCCGGGAATTCATTAGTTGCCTAGAAACTTACTTAAAATTGTTTATTTGGTCCCCACCAAAAAAGAAAAAAAGAAAGTAAATGGTGTAAGCTTCATTACCCTCATGGGCACCTGGAAAACTGAGATTAACCAGGGAAGAAACGTCTTCATATTTTTACTTTTAAAAACACAGAATATGCCTCACATCTGCTTCATTTGGGCCACACTTAACACCTAACATGGGGGATAAACTGTTGGACTTTGGTTCTTCTATTCTAGCCTCAATCATTTTCTACTCTAATTTGACTTTTATATTGTATAGATAATAAATATCCTCACACAGGTACAGTAAAATCCTTTTAGCTAACTGAAAAAGAAAAATAAAAAAATAACACAGTCTCCTGCCCAGGCCCTATTTCCTTATTTGGAAGGCTCAGGAATTGCATTATATGATCTCTAAGGTATCTTTCAACTCTCAAATTCTAATGTATGAGTCATTGCATCTTAGAAATGGAAACAGAATCATCCCTAGACAATGACATCCCTCATCCCCACCAGTCATCCTTGCTGGGTTCTCTTGGTTCACTTTGGTTGACCATGAGCTGAGGAGACTCCTCTTCCATGAGTCTCCAGCTTGTTTTTTGCTTGTCAGTGTCCTTCCAGGCACAGGCAGCAGCACACCCGATGAGAGAGAGGGCTAGATTAAGATGAAAGGTAGTGGGAAGAAGGGCACTGTCTTACCTGCAGCAGCAGACAATGGTCTCTCAGAGTCTGGGAGACAGCAAAAGATGGCTTCAGAAAAAGCAAGGTGTATTCAGAGCTAGGGTACACCCCTGAGTCCTGCATGTCTTTGGCTGCTACACAACAGCTAAAAATCTTCAGTTGCACGTAAGAGAGGATATGGACAATTTTAGTAGAGATCTAAGTGAGTCTTTGTCCCAACCCTTCTGAGGAAGGTGCCTTCCGTTTGGAGCTGAAAGTTCAACCCTCTTTTTTTTTTCTAATCATACAACATACAATGAGATGCAATGAAGGGCATTATGAAATAGGAGATAAAGAGCTGGCCTTGGAGCCTGAAATGGCAGGTTTAAGTCTTGCCTCTAACATACACTGACTTTTTATCCCCACACAAGTTACTTCTCAGTGCCCTAGAAAATTCTTTAAGACTCTAAATTTCAGACAAGGTACACATTGGTGGAGGGAGTTTCCTCCTTTAGGAGTTCCCTGTACCAATGAAGTCACAGCCTGGTGCCAATCCTAATGAAACCAACAGTAACCCACAGACTCCCTCCTTCCAGATTTCAATAAAACTGGCTGTTTCTGCCAAAGTTACCTTGTGATCTGCTGCTGTTGTTATTGTTTGTCCTTCATTTTCAAAGAGGATCAATGTCATCACGGCTTGACGTGTTGATTCATTCATGATTTGGATTTAAGTGAGGCAGATGTGCCTAATGATTTATTTCCTCCCAGAAGGAGTATGCTATCTTTTAACATTTATTGGACTGAAGGAATCAGGACCCACTGAAGGCACTTTGATGGAGTAGGGTGTTGGGGTTGCACAGAAGTTCTCCAAAAAAAACCCCACAAATTTGATGGAAGGAAGAGAGACAGTATTCATTTTCTAGGGTTTAAAACCATGTAATCCATCTCCCAGAGCAAGTGAGCCTTCCACAGCCCTACTTTTTCTGGCACTGGTCCTGTTAGCATTTTGCAGGATGGACAGAGAAAAGATTGGGGTGGGGGAACAGGCATCAAAATAATAGAGTGTTTGT